AGTCATGCAAGCCACATCATATATAAAAAAATATTTGTATTAGCTAGTTAGCCAGATAGAGAAACACACCTCGTCCTAACAAGATTTCACAAATTTAACATGACAAGTTTCCAGAATCAGATAATATATTTTTGTTTCTCACTGACAGGCGGGATGCGTGACATTCAGAATTGACTTGAAAATGCTTTTTGAGTTTATATTCCTGAATTGACCCTGTGCAAAGAGTTTGATTGACAACTTCGGTGGACTTGAACTTGAAAATGGTGTGCACCGACGTCTTGCCGCGGTTGTCATCAAACTTTGAATATCATCAAATTTGCAATTCATACGATCAAGCACTTTTAAAAAATCTGCAAATGATTTTTAACAGAAATTATACAATGATTACATGCTTATTTATTAATGTACTTTTGAATGCTTACAAATGTCATTAAACTTAAGTTCATATATTACCTAATGCCATTTTTTACATTCATAAATGTCGTGAAAAAAAATAGCCTAATTAGTAATTTTAAGCACTTCACAAACTATTTTTGTTAACATATTATTCCTTAACTCAAAATCAAAGTCTGTAAAGATCATATATTTGGTCTTTGTTGGTTTTATAGACTTCTACTACTTCCACATCTTAACAAATCATTTATTAATTATTTGTTCATGTTTTTTCAATACCCAATCTAAAGTGTATGCTATTCATCATTTGTAAATCTTTATAAACATTTACTAATCATTAGTACTTGATTCAAAGCTAGTCGCAAACAATTTTTTTGTCCAAAAAATCCTCTATTGTGTGGTGTCATTACGTTTATTTAACTGCTCCCGATCGAGATTGTAGGATCTGTCTCACAACAGACCCACCTACATGATGGAGACACACACATCAAACCAGCACATTCCATGGAAGGTTTTTGAGGTTCGTCTCCCCAGCCATCTGCAGTCGTAAAACTCATGCTCTATCAAGTAAGGTGAAGCATTCCCTGGACTGTTTGGCTATATCTCAAGATAAGCTAAAAAGGACAGTACTTTAACGGTGCTTAAAGTTGTTTTACGGGCTTGCAAAGAGCAGATAGAAATACCCTCATGACCAGTGGACGCATAAATTGCTAAACTCCGATCAACAAAAGAGACAATTTTATAGCTCCCTGTCCCGCAGGAGATTCTCCAGCAGATGCCCAGAGCTGACCTGTACGTGATCGAGGGACTCACCCCTTTTCCCCCGCATTCCAAGGAAAGAGACAAGATGTCGTTTGACAATCGTTGCTAATAATTGAAAGTATAAAATGATCAGAGCATAGAATTACAAATAGTAGGTTGTATGTGTATATATATATGCTTGACGTGTTTCATGTAATCGGTGCAACTTTAACCAGTGTTTAATTACCCCTTTTTAGGAATTAAGGATATTAAACTGTGTAATATGTGAAGTTTAATCTTGAACGAATGAAAACCAGAAATGCAGAAGGTTGAAATGAAGTACACTTTAATAGTATGTACAATATTTGCATTTAAGAGACTTTATAGACGTATCAATATATTATTATAGGTGGCCTCATATAAATGAGAGTCTCTGGTTAATGTATGCACACTCCGCCCCTTAAGAAGTCGATTGGAAGCCAGCGTCAGGGGACGGACTTATGCCACAGAGCAAAACCCGAATGCAGAACAGAATCCAGGGGGGTTTTTGGTTAGCTAGCTGGCTTGCAACTTCTCCGGCTCTCGCTGGTCGCTGTGTTAGAGCACCTGCACGCGTGCTCACATTTACCATCAAAAGCGACCAGCAAACTAAAACTCAACACTTCAGTGATACTTCGTTGAAATCGTCAACAAACTTGAAAGTCTAAGACTCTCAGCAGATTGCTTGCGCCTCTGCGTCATCACAACTCACGAGGGGCTTCCCAAAGGACATCATACTGACGTCACCGACCCGTCAGTGACGGGGTTTCCCTCAAAGACCTCCAGGAAGCCCGCAGCAACCACGGAGTCACCTCAGCTGTCAACCAGCGGAACGCAAGTAAACAACATTCTATGATCTGCTGAACGGGTGAATTTAGATGCGTTGCTCTGTGAATTCTTAAGGTGAATTCCCATCCCTCGTGAAAACGAGATAGAACTATGAAACTCAGAACTCCGTTAACAGACTTTCCTTCCTCTGAACTGTATGTTTGTGTGTTTTAGCTTAAGTTTATGTGATCTAGAATAGCCAATAAATTTCATGTTTCATTTATAACTAATCAATTGTCTGGGTCATATAATTTCGTGTCAATTCTATTGCCAAACGATCCTTGCTTGTTACCTTAGCTCGTAGCTTACGCATAATAATTACCTCTCTTTCAAGAGCTGACAAATCATCAAATTTTGTATTTCACCCGTGGCCAGGGAGAATACAAAATTTACATATTCAATTGGTAATATACACTGACATCAGCTTCTCGCTGGCCGAGTAGCTGATAAAAGTATAAACTATTGAAAGTCAAAGTCAGTTTTGATCAGGTGGACCTCGAATTCTCAGATCGAGTTCTTTTAAAACCTGAGCTAGAAATAAACCTGAATGAATTAATAATGATTAATTCCCTTACAAATAAGTAAATTATTACAGAATGGTGGAGAAAAACAAAGCTGGCAAGATTGACTGAAAAATTAATGATACCAAGATAATATTATGAATTTTGTCTGTTTTATCCGGAAAAATAGATAAAAGACAAAAGAAACTGAATTTGTTGTGTTATTTTGGTTATGTATGTTAGCACGGAAGAGCGTGTTGTTCGAATATAAAACTCGAGTTGTTCTTTAGAAAGAATTGAACTGCAGAAAAACGTTTTTAGTTGTCCAACGAGACAAAACAAGTCGCGTCAGAGCGCACGAGAAAGAAACGGGCGTTTTTCCCCGTTTACTTTCTGTAAAAGGCCTTCAGAGTCTGATTTGTGTAGTGCGTGTTCCACTTTCAAATACAGCTCTGCTATTGTCTCCCCAGTCTGAGGAAATCAGTGTAGCTAGCTGACAACCCTCTTGACATTTAATTCACTAGAAACTAGTGGACGTGAAACGCGGTGCTCAGGAAGAGTGCCCAGACGATATTCACTTTGGGAGAACTAGGAAACTTGATCAAGTGAAAAGTGGTTAAGTCCACGTGTGTTTTGTCTGTAATAAGACATGTGCTGATATCCGCCGAAGATATATTTCGCCTTTCTCATCTCTCTCTCTCCTCTTCTCCTCCCATTGAAAAGAACAGACAGATGCAAACTTTATAAACCTTATTGCAATGTGATTTTAACCAAAAACGTCAGATGAGCGATCTCACAAGTACTTATAATCACGTTGGTTTAAAAGGTTGGCTTTTCCACTTCAGCGTGGTACTATCCTCAGTAAACTGCTACCGTTGTGGTGTTATTAACAATTAATCCTGGCCAGCCTAGGCCGTTTTACTGTAATGCTACGTTGTTTAATTCAGCTATAACGCCCTTATAATTTTATGGACATCGGTAAATATCAATTTGCTATACGTAAGGATCTGAAATTGTGAAGTACATTTAATAATTAATTACAAATTTGGAATTTACATTCCATTTCCTAAATTAATTACAAATTTGGAATTTACATTCCATTTCCTAAATTAATTACAAATTTGGAATTTACATTCCATTTCCTAAATTAATTACAAATTTGGAATTTACATTCCATTTCCTAAATTAATTACAAATTTGGAATTTACATTCCATTTCCTAAATTAATTACAAATTTGGAATTTACATTCCATTTCCTAAATTAATTACAAATTTGGAATTTACATTCCATTTCCTAAATTAATTACAAATTTGGAATTTACATTTCAGTTCATAAATTAATTACAGATGTGAAATTTTAATTTCATGTCAAATTAATTGCAGTTCCTGCTTCCACATGGCAACAGTGTTTACTGATGAAATTTGATTATAGGCGCTATTAGGGTTTAAAGACAACGACATTAGAAGTTTAAGCTTTAAGGATAACAAGTTACTAATACTGATTTCACGATTAATTACGTATTTGGAATTTTAATTTCATTTAATAATTACGGGTCCTGTGTCCATATTGCCACGATATTTGCTGATCAGTCAGCTATAATTGCGTTGCTAATTTTAATAACAAACATCATAAAATGTTTAATCCTTAACCATCAATAAGGCAATAACATTTTTAGTTCAGGACTATCATTAGGGTTTGAGTCATCCTGCTTCAAGATATAAATTGATTAATAGTAATTTTAATTACTCTCATCAATTTTAATGATAACATCTTTAAATTTTAACCAGGAAATACTATTGCTAACCTTAAATTCTAATTTAATTAGCAAATGGGCCTTCTTTCCCTCTCCCTTTCAGTTAATTAATTTAATACATTGGGAGAGCGAAACTTTTCTCTCTCTTCTGCTTCTCTCTCTCAGCCGTTTCCTTTTGAGGTGACGACTGTGGTTGCTTGCTGGGAGGTTGCCTATGGAAATCACAGAGCAAAGAATTTTGAGAAATTGAACAGGTATTTTGGAGAACGCCAGAACGCCGTTTCAAAATTGTCTTCCATTTACCTGTCACTTGCTTTAGAAACCCTACCTAGCTAAGAAGACCACAATTTGAAAATTTGAACAAGCATCCAGAAACGAAAAATTGGTGACTGGTGTCAATCGTAACAGCTAAAACCCAATACTGTCATTTTTATTGTTTTCCCTCACAAGGAGGAATTTTTAATAACAATCACAGTCCTGTGGTTTGTGGTATTACGAAATTCTCGTTCCTAAACGCCGGTTTAGAAGCATCCTTCTAAATCAAACTTAAACAAAAGGCAAAGAAGAAAATTCAATTATCCTCATTTTCTGCTACCAGAAAAGGGTATTTTGTTGTTTTATCTTTCCCTCTCATCTTACCATTAACTTTCTTTCTTTTCAAGAAAAAAAAACTTTTCTCTTACAGGAAAATTGGAAGCAGCCAATTACTATCCTGTCCACTGCTCAGTGTTGTTCTTTTCTTTTCCTTTCATCCCTCCGTTCTCTAGCTGTGCTACCTGTGTGCTTACTAATTTTCCCCGCAGAGACTACAAGTTAGGAGCACGCCCACCAGAGAATCACAGTAACCGAGAACTACACTCACCTGTCCCTTACACACTCACTGTCAAACCACAAGTGACATTGCACACTTACACCTCTGTTTTGCCTTGTTTGTTTTGTTTGGTTTGTTTCCTTTTCTTCAAGGTCTGTGTCAGTCTAGATTCTAAGATCTCCCTCATCACGCCAAAACATGTCTCGCACGACAGA